TCTTGTCCCATAGGCAGTGTGCAGCCCTTTTGAGGGCTGGCCAGGTAAACCTGGGGATACTGTATTTGTTCCTTGTCCTGTTGCTAGGACTAAATACCTGACCGAAAAGGAAGGAAGAGTTTATTTTGGCTCATGGTCCAAGGATGCAGTCCATCAGGACAGGGAAGCAAGGAGAAGGGGCCCGAGGCTTATATTACATCTGCACTCAGGAAGCAGAGAGAGAGAAAACGCTGGTGCTCAGGTCAGTTTCTTTATGGGCAGTCCATGGGATGGTGCCACCCACATTTAGGGTAGGCCTTCCATCTTAATTCACTTAATACAGACAGTCCCTCAGAGTCACACCCAGAGGCTTGTCTCTTCCATGACTCTAGACCCCGACAAGGTGGTAGTCACAATTAACTACCGCTGATGCCCAGCAGTAAGTTAATTTAAGGAGTGTGGACAATGTCTTGTTGGCATCATCACTTCTGCCCTCTTCTGCTACAGAATTTGTTCTTCCCTGTAGAACAGGGAGTAGAAGCCAAGAGTAGGGACTCTCAGCTTTCTGCTCTGCCTGAGTTACAGCCTCACAGAGATTCCATTATTTGGTTTGCAGAGTAGGAATTAACCAAACACTAGCCAAATCTATTCACATGGTTAGGTCCAAAACAAATCCTGGTCTCGGAAAGGGAAGAGTTGAGGATGCTATCTGAGGTCCATGAATTATCTGTGCTCCAGTTCCTCCTCCATGTGGGGCTCCAAACGGGCTGTCATTCTTGGGCACAGCTGGCTGTGAACATGAAGCCTTCTCGTTCACAGTGCCCACTGGACATCCTAGCTTTCTAGCACGTTTCTCTCTCCCTAGAGTCACAACCAAGTTGAATACCTAGCTTCGGAGTCATGTAAATGGTTATCCTTCGGGCTGAGTAAGCTGCAGTTGACTTTCCTGTGTGGGAGTACCCCAGCCAATCAAGAGCAGCTTAAAGGAACTTAAAAGAGTACTATCAGAGTATTTCATAATAGGAAAACTGCAAGTCCAGCCCTAGGGAAGCTGGAGCCGAAGCCTTGGCCATGTACAGACACTTACCCTGCCATGTTCAGGCACACAGGTCTGTGGCTTTGCTCTTGAGCCTCAGACAGCTGACGTTGGGGGAGGAGAATGGAGTGCCTTAGGCTTCACCCGCCTGCACATTAGCAGTTTATGCCTCCAGCTCCCTGTTAAAAGGGGTGTGTGTGGAGGCCTGGGAGGAGTCTTCTGAGGGATTTGATTGCTCTCATGCATTTGGACCATGATTAAGAGTTGGGAGTGCATTCTATTGGAGGCTGCCAGAATGTGTCATCTTAAATGGTGGACAGTATTGGCCAGAGCAGAGTTGTAAGTTTAGGGTGCCTCCCCTCTGACCATAGCTTCCTATCTGCTAATGGCGGGCAGCTTTTCCCAGGGAACCATCTTGCTAAGGCACAGATTAGTGTATCACCAGCTCGGCCACCTGAATCCCTTCTCCTATGATCTGAAGTGACAACCTTCAGGCCAGCATTGAAGAGTTGAGACCAAAGGTGGGATTTGACACACAGCTCTAAAAGCAGGTGCTAGGGCATCCACAAGCAAATGAATTATGAATGCAAGCTGGAGAAGGTGCAGAATGAAGGAATATTCAGTATGTGGTAAGGCTAATTATAGACCTACCGGCTTTTGAAGAGATTTTCTTTCTTTCTTTCTTTTCTTTGAGATTGGCCAATGTATTTTCCCTAAAGTTAAATTAGGTTTCTATTGTCTTCTCTCCTTTCTCTTTCAAAAGTGACATTTTTTAGAGCCTGGGATGTAGCATAGGGGTAGAGCATGTGCTTAGCATGTGCCAAGCTTTGGGTTCTGTCCCCGTCACTGTACACACACACACACACACACACACACACACACACACACACACCATTGCTGTAGTCTTGTGTCCCTTCTGCCCCATCCTGTAAAGTGCGTGTGTGCCTTTTTCAGAAGTAGGTACCTCGTGTTTGCAGTTCAAGTACAGTGGAACTCACCCCACAGCTTGAACAGATTTGAGTGCTTCTGCCGAGGGAGAGCCGGGCAGATGGGGAGTGTCATGCTCAATAAATACTTGTTGGATTGAGTTGCTGGGAAGGCCGCGGAGTGGAAGGGAGTCACACCTCCTCCAGGCTCACTTGTGCTGGCCTTCCCCACTTTTAGTCCCCCGTACACTGTCGTGTCCCATCTGTGTCCACCTCTCCAGGCTCACTTGCAGGACAACCTGCCCACTCCACAAAGCAGCAGTGTTCTCTAAATCATTGGTCCCCTTTTCATCCTGGCTTTTGGGCTTCAAGCCCAGCTGGTAGCAAAGATGTCGCATTTCCATGGAGGCCTAGGCCTGTAGGTTCTTTTCCTAACATACTTAAAACTAGGGGGGCAAATCACCAGGTTGATCCGTGGAAAAAGACAATGTGTAGGATTCTGCTGTAGGTTTGTTTAAAGTCTGAACTACCTCGCTCTTGGCTTAGAAGGAGGCGTGGTTGATGGGTTAAGGAGACTGAGAGGAGTGCCCGGTGTCTTTCATGCCAGATAGACCAGGACCGATTTTTGGGTATTGCTCTCCTGTACAGTAAGGAAAAGCAGGATTACAAAATGAGTGGGTACCTTTTTAGGCCAGGCAACAGAGTTACCAGTGGACCTTAGGTTGGCTGTCCCAAGCGTGATCAGGTTGAAAGCCCCCTCCTCCATGCCAGGCAGCATCCCATAATCTCAGGTATTGCTGTTCCTTCCCTTCACCTGCTGAAGTGGAGAAATGCGGGAGAGAGGCGTTCACGATCATTGTCCAAACCCTAGACATTTAGACTGTTATCCAGTCTGTTTCCCTGTTGCCAACTGTGGGTCGCCATAGACAAAGTGGTTTAATAAACCTGCCCAGCTGGGTGTGACTTTGAACAGAGTGAACATGTGATCAGGAGAGCAGGCAGCTCCTTTCCCTTCCTCCCTCTTCCCTCCTCCCTCCTCTTTCTTCTCCTCTTCCCCTTCCTCCCTCTGCCCTCCTCCACGCTCCCTCCACTTTAGAGTTTCCTGAGCCTGTTTGATCGTCCACGTGGCTTTGAGAGGAACCACTGTGGATAACACGTGCATTCCCTGCCCCACAGCTGTAGGCTCGCAGAAACCTGTCATGCTGTCCCGCAATCGGGGAGCATCTGTTTAACGCATGCCCATCAGATATCACATAGGCCCTGGGAGGTGGGGAGCTGGTGGGGAGCACAGATGACAGAGGCATTCAACCAGAGGTCTTTTATACCAAAAACAGCGTAGTGTGGATGGAGAGGGGAGAAAGGGGCTGTGGGAGCCACGACCGTGGGGACAAGTACCCCTTAACCTGAGGGAAGCACATGGAGCTGTCACGTGAGTCGTTCTGTATTCACAACAACAACAAAAAAGTAATAAAGGGCTGTTTCCATAGTAAGAGCCTGAGAATTCCAAATCTGAAAGGCCCCCAGTTCACCTGTATTGTTCAGAGAACTTGAGACATAAATAGCTTTGTTTTGACAGTATTCATTTGTTTGTCTCTCTTGCTGCTCATAATTGGCACTCAGATGTTTTACATTTACTTTCCCTGTGTGCTGCCAGGGAGGGTGGCATTTCCTTGTTTTTGCAGACTGGGAAACTGAGACCCAGAAAAAGAAATAACTTGCCCACAACCATGTGATCGACAAAGCCCTTTTGCTTGATTAAGCAAGGGTCTCTTCCCACACATGGAAGTGTGTCGTGAACTTGATCCCGGCATGGCATCCCCACCGCCTCGCTCATCTCCAGCTTTTGTTTCCCTTTGGTTTGTATGTCTTATTCCAGGCTCCAAGTGCACCCGATAAACGGATTAGGAGAGAACTGGAAATTTGTTGCAAAGATAAGTCTGTTTCTGGAGCCTCCCGAGCTGACCACACAGTGGGGTTTCCACACCTTGAACTTGTCCTGTGAGCTGTAGACTGGTGGATAATGGGAAGAGGGTGGCCAGCGCAGCACTGCGTGTGTGTGACATGGTGGTGACTTTTGGGTGTTTCTGGCTGTTTGGAGATTGGCAATTGCCATCCGGAATGAGTAGCTCACCAGGGACAGGCTGGGGGCAGACTGATGTTCCTGCCTCTGTGGAGTCGTAGTTGTGGGTACTGATCTGGAATCGTATGAGGGAGATATGTCTAGACGGCACGTGCTTGTAAGAGACGGTGTCTCTCTTACGTGTCACTATGTGAAACGTGGACGGTGCATTCCTATGGAAGGGGGTGGGCACGGGTGGCTTTGTGCCATGAAAACAACTTAGTCCTCCATGTAGGGTGGCCCCTGGCACCACCACTCCCACATTCCTGATGGGAAAGAAGCCTTTCTGTAATCTGCCTAAGCACGTCCCTCATCTTCCTTTTGGTTAGCTAGGAGTGGGGTCCTTGTGATATTTAATAGGACCCCGTAGGGGCACAGTGGAGGCTTGAACTCTGGGAGAGAAAGCTCCATCTAGGGAGCACTGCCTGGCCGGCTTCTTGGAGTTAACTCGTCCCTCCACAAGATGACTCTCCTCTCTATAGAACGATTTCACGTCCTCATGTGTGTGTGCTTGTGTGTCGTCTTTCCTTTCCAGTTACTGCACAACCTTGTAAGGTAAAATCTTAGTTAGCAAGTATTCTAAAAACTCTTCTGTATAATAAAGTTGTTTCCATTTATATAATGCTTTCTTGTTGTTTGTTTTATAAGTTTTGTGTCTTTAAGTAAAAAAAACCAAAAAAGGAGGAAGGTCTAGGAAATGGCGTCGTTGCTCGCTTCCCGAGCCTGAGGACCTGGTTCAGATCCCCAGCAGCCATGGAAAAGCACGGTTCGGTGGTGCACACTAACTCCAGCACTGGGGGTGTGGAGATAGCTAGATCTCTGGGCTCCTAGGCCGGCCAGCCGAGCTGAATTTGTGAGCTCCAGGTTCAATGAGAGACCATGTCTCAAAAATGAGATAGAGCTGGTAGGATGGCTTGGTTGATTAAGAACACTTGTTTCAATCCTTTTTTGGTTCATAAGCATAATGATTGGGAATTCATGCCATTGCATGGTGTGTGCCGCCCATTAAACCTTGTTACAACATTGGCACATTAACCATCTGACATGAAACAAACAAACAAAACAACAACAACAACAACAACAAAAACCACTTGCTTCACAAGCTTGATGCCCTGACCTCAGTCCCTTGATCCCATCGTTGAAGACGAGAACTGACTGGTGAAGGTTGGCCTCTGACCTCCACATGCACACTGTGGCATGCACTTCCCTGTATCCCCACGCATATCATACAGACAAATAATATTTAAGAAGTTAAGTTTCGGTGTGGTGGAATACCATTTTAATCCCAGCACCCAAGAGGCAGAGGAAGGCAAGTCCCTGAGTTGCGGGCCAGCCAAGGCTACATAGTAAGAACCTGACCTCCCCAAACAAAACAAAACAATTTAAAATTGAGCAATTGAGGAAGACTTTGGCCTCCATGTGTGCATATATGTGCACACACGCACACACACAAGGGCATATACACCATAACACAGGGAGGAATAGAAACTGACTTTGTATCACTTTATGGAACTTGTCTGAACTGTGTGGTCACTGTCCATGTAAGACAGTGGACATTTAAATGCTTGCCATTTGCAGGGAAAGGAGCAGACGTCCATAAACTGTCACCAGATAACAAAACCTTTGCTGTCTCTCAATCGCCAACATCCCATTTGTTGCCTATTCCTTTCAAGGAATAAAAGTCTCTCTCTCTCTCTCTCTCTCTCTCTCTCTCTCTCTCTCTCTCTCTCTCTCTCTCTCTC